AAATGCTTTATTCAACTTACATGTAGGAACAAAAACAAGAATTAAAAAAAACCTAACACGGATTAACAAACCATTCTGACCAATTGGTGTTAACAATATTTAGTAACATAGGGCCATAATAACAACACATTGAGATTCAAATACATATAATTAAATACAGTAGCAATCTCTGCACAACATAAGAAAATAATACTAGAATTTAATTATAATTAGCCTTGAAATAGAATTTGCTTTATAAGAATCTGTTTTAGAGCAGTAACTCTGTGTTGTGAAGAGTACAACTGACACATGATTTATTTTCACTGAGAAATACACCTGTAAAATGGACTTATCTAATAGAGAATAACATGATTTTGCTTTAAATTCTGGAGCAGTAAATAAATGATGTGAATGTCGAAAAATGGATTGAAAATAAATGATCCTTGTAATCAAAATAATCAACACCTAATCCGTTGTCGAGGGAGTTTATTTAAAAAGGTGATTAGGTGTTGATTATTTTGATTATTAATTTGCCGAGTACGTTTTCTGTTCAATGATCCTTGTAGTTTCAATAGTAAATCTGTTTGATTTTGCATTGCATTACTACAGTTTTCAAGAATAACTTTTCTGCTAACTTACACAAAGTTACATCATCATCTAATGCTATAGACCAGAAACTTTCTGGGCCCGTATGTACCATATAGTAAGCATGCTTAGCTTTAAAGATATGCGTGCCAAAGCTTTAGACTTTGAATAATAACATTTAAATAAATTAAACGAATATGTTTAATTACAATAACTAAAAAATCTGGTTGAAAAAATAATGATCAGGTGATAAACCAAAATGATGATCGAAAAAGATAGATGAAAAATCGAAATTGTGTGATACGTTACGTGCCAGATGATTTTTCCTTACGTGTCACTTTGGGCACGTTGTCATAGGTTCGCCATTCCTGCTCTAGACAGTTTGTCGTTATCCTTTAAACTTGATCCTCCTCTTTGAACATCATATAAGCACAGTAAGTACATTTGTGCTTTTTCTCTTTCGCATCTCTTCCCATTGCAATTACTCGCTGCTCTCACTCTCCACTGCTCAACTCTCCACTGCCGAGAGAAAACTTATTACACTGCAATTTGAAAAATTGTAGATCTATATGTTCCCATTGTCGTCCGTCCGTCCGTCGTCTATCTTTCCTTAATCTTGAGAACTGAGTTAGACAGATGAAGATCGAGACTAGACATGGAAACTTCAAGTGCTGGAGCCCCCGATTAACTATAAACTTCCGATGTAAACTGAAAGTTATGTTATTTCAATTCAAAACATTCCCCTGAAAGATGTTAATACAGGGGTGGCCAACAGTTTTTGCCCCCCGGCCGAATTGGAAAGAAAGCTTTTTTCAAGGAGCCAAACCAGAGGCTGCTCTAGGAAGATTTTGACGCGGTGCGACATCTCGTTGTGGTTTCACTCCGTAGAGACTAAATTGTACATAGAAATTACAGATACATTTTTCACATTATCATGCTTTATCAACATTCTACGCTGTACTTACGAGATTTGTAATGGAGGGTTAACTCTAAACGCACAGTGGGTTGTTGATCTTTTTTCTTTCTTTTTAGGCGTCAGAATTTTTCATCGAGCTATTTGGACTTCAGTAGCTAATATTGAAAGATTAATCGCGGGCCACATAAATTCATTAGACGGGCCGGATCCGGCCCGCGTGCTGTATGTTGGCCATGCCTGTGTTAATATATGACCGGCATGACTATTGTTAAAGTATATGTATACAGTACTGTACAGGGGCAAGCCACTACTAATTTGAGGTAGAAAACATATATTTTAAATGAAATAAATTAAAAATATGATTAAAAATTGTAGTCCAATGACAATGTCACAATAAATAATTGCCCATTTCCGTTAAATTATGCGTATTTGCTGTTTAAGTTTATCGAAAGGGATATTGTTTAGGGTCTGGGAACAGTTTAATTCATTTTCCATTATTTCTATGGAGAAAATTGATTCGAACTTCGAACGATCTCTGGAATGAATTAAATTCGAATTACGATGCGCACTGTAGATGGCCGCAGAGTAGGTCGAAAACGTTCGATCCAATAAGTAACTTGTTATGCTAGTTAATTCATTCACAGTGTTATACAGTAAGACCCCGCTTAACGTGGGGATGCGTTCCTAGACGACAAAGCGCTAAACGAAACAACGTTAAACCAGATCTTTTTAACATAGAGTAAATAAGGAAAGGGGAACACGCGATCAAAAATAAACAAAATTTACTTCAATTTTAAGTTATTATTATATTAATTTGCATAATAATATATGTTAAATAACACATAAACATATGCACACAGAAATGTAAAGTTCATTTTTTGTGATGAGGGTCCTGGCTTTTCTAAAATTCTTGATTTTTGCGATAAAGTCGTGTAGTTTCATTTGTCGCTTTTTTCCTTTTCTTAAGCAATGTAGGTATCAGAAGATCGAATCCAAAACGCCTCGTCTTGCTTTTGCACTCCTTTCAAAATCTGGATCTTTCGCTACAATTTGATCAACGATTATCAATTTAGGTTATCATTACCAAACTTTTATTCAGGAAATCTGTAGAGAAATTTTTTGGATTCTTTGTTTTCAGAAACACTATTTTCCAGTTCTACGTTCTGCTAGTTCTTGAAGGTCGTTGTAGGTAAGGCTCTCACCAGAAACCTGCAGTAACTCCTCAATATCCTGCTCGTCTACATTTCCTAGTCCTGCTGTATTGCTGTATCGTTAGGTTGACAATTTAGTCAACCTAACGATACAGCGATAGGCTCTTCTCGTTGAGAAATCTTGGATACCTTCAGCCATACCTTCTTCCACACTCCATTCATGCATTTATCAGTTAATTCTTTCAAGCCAAGTCGATATTGCTTATGGCATCCATGATGTTATATTTTTTTCCAAAATTGCACCAAATAAACATAGATTTACAGTGGCTAGAAAATATAGTGTCGAAAGCGCTTATATTCCTCCATTATAACCGTTCGGTCCATACAGCGAGGTTAATGACGTCACAGACAAGATGGCGCTGATGTCAATCGTAGTGCTACTTTCGCTTTGGCTACGTGATATCCTTTCTTACAAGAACATCGAAAGCGATTAAATTTGTGCTTGTAAAGTGAATAAATCCTTAGGAAATGGCTGAACAGAAACTTTACTGACTTGTGTATTTCTAATTTATAGATATTACTCTACTGTAATTTTTAATTCTTTTATTTTTGTCGAAAAGGGTGAGAAATCTACATGCATATTAATCTGTAATTTTTTAAGAGAGATTTTTCAAATATAAAGTGTATATGCATGGGTACTTGGCAGTAGACTAATAATCGTTTATTTGTACATACTTAATTTTGTAATTTTATATTGGGACAATAAAGTAACATTCTGCCTTTATATTTTATATACTGTGTAGAATTTAATTGTAATTTTAATATTGCTTTATACTATGTCACATAATACTGTGAACAGTATACAGTATTATGTAACTGATGGCATTTGCTTAATAAATTCTATTTTAGGCCCTCACAGTGGAAGAGGTTCACAAAGCCATATAAAACTTACATTTTATTATTAAAAATATGATAAATTCTGTATTTTTTTAGTAAATATGAATAAACCTTGTTGTTAATAAGGTAATAACAAGAGTAGATTACTCTTGTACTCTAAATAATACTTGTTTGTACAGCACTCAACAGCTGTAATGTAAAAATAGACAATACAGTGTAGGCTATTTGATTTAATAAGAATCTTAATTAGCTTTAATAAAATGAATTCCTTCATAAATGTTAATAAAGTAATACTATATAATAATTGATTGCTAGTGATATGATTTATTATCGATCTAAATTCTTTTACTTGGCTACAGCACATTTACTATGCTTAAAAATCTCACTTAAAACCAATATAAACATAGGATGATACAGCCAGTGTAGCACAACGTTTGACAGCAGCGCCTCTTGCGGCAACCTCCAATATAGGGACAGAAAATAAGTTCGATTTCGACACTATATTTTCTAGCCACTGTAATAGATTTAAGGAAAGAACAGCGCTACAACGAATTGCCACCTTTTGCTAATTGGTTTGTGTTTGGGAATAATCGTATTATATACGAATCAATGAAATGGCGCGATAATTTAAATCAGCGTAAATTTTGAGGTTTGTTAACAATGTTTAGGCTTCGAGTAAATCGCGTTATATCGAATCAGCGTTAAGCAGGGTCTTACTGTATTTCGGAACAAGAGTTACAAGACCAATATCAAATTATTTATTGAAACAAAGTATAATTCGATAACCGAAATGGCATAAAAAATTAAATAAAAGCTGCATGCTTCATATTAAAATACTCTTAATAAATAAAATGAAATGAAATTAAACTATACTTTGTCTATTGAAAGAATCAACCAATGAGCATCAGCCATTGATCGCTAAGTTTTGGCAAGTCACTTCTGATCAGAGGCTCGATTCTAAAACCCGCGGATTCTTACGGAGCTAAAGAATAGTAATATGCATACTTGTCAAATTCTGTAATTAATCTCATATTTAAAACTCACACTTAATGTCACAATTAAAAGTATCACAATTTCGTTTTGTTGCGCTTGAATTTCAAAGTACGAACATTATTTATAAATAACTTCAATAATGAATTTATATGAAATTTTTATTTTATTTTTTTACTTTTATTCTTAATTTATTTTTATATTAATATCAATGAAATTTTTTATTATACTTTTATTCCTTGTCATATTCTGTTTGTCTTGTGTTCTTTTTATTTGTTCTCATTTCTATTCATATGTAACAATTAAAATTATTACGATGAAATAAATTTTGTTAAGATATACAATAACTTATATAATTCTTGTAATTTATGCGCTGCTACAAATAAATTAATTGTTTGTTTTATTTACTTACAGACATATCATACCTTGTATGTTAAGTGATGAAACGGAGTCAGAGATTAAATTAAAAAATATAGGCTTTATTGATAAAACTTCGTTATAATTTTTAATAGTCAATTTATTTTTATTAATTTGCTTTGTTAAAAACTCATAAAATTACAAACCTTATATTGATAAAGTCTGTATCAATCAATGAATAAAAATATTTTTTTATATTTATGTGAGAATGATTAAGTTGAATTTTTTAATTTAAAGAATGGTAATTTTTCTTCATTATATCAACAACAGTTTTGATTCGAAAAGATATCATTTTTATTTTTAAAATGTTTGCAACTTTTTTCTTATAATGCATTTGCAAGATTTCAATCATATTTTCTCAAATGATAATGCCATCATTTTCGAAGATGCAAAGATGCAGAGATAAATTGAAGATACGTACAGATAATCTTCATATATTTTTGATTTATGTACCATTTAATAATCTTCGAAATCCATTTGTTTTGTTCTACGAAATGGAATAAAAGATCTATTTTCTGTTCTCGTTTATACCATTTTTGTATAATTTTAGATGAAATACCGATTGATTCAGTATTTTTACACAGAATTTCATCTTTGAATTTCATAATATTTGAAGAAGTTTCACCATTATCGTCAAGTTTTCCGTGGTTATACGAATACATTGTAAGAAATTCATAATTTGGTAATTGAAACTGATCTGAACTTTTTTGACCATATTTACCAATTCTTAATTTACAATAATTTTGCATTTTAACAGAAAAATTCGAGTTGATTACATTATTTACCAATTCATTCTCTCTTATCAAATCAAAATAAGTTTTACAAAAAGGAAATTCTTTCGTTTCCCTAAACCAATCAAGATACACAAGTCTTGGACACAATTCGCTTTGAAACTTCATTACATTTTTGTTTTTAATACGTTGCATTTCTTTTTCTTGCCATTTATGTATATTGATCACAGCTAGTTTCAGACTTTTATAATAAATTTTTCTTCTAATTGAAATTTGTACCAAAGAAATTTGCTTTAAGCTTAGCATCTGTCGTTTGTACCATTGTTGAATATTTAAAACTGCAAATATATTTTGCACATAATTCAACATGTACCACTTTCTGATAGCAATAGCTTTATACTTCACTCGACAATCAATTATATCGGTATAATAATCTAATCTTTGTGTAGACCACTTGCTTTTTGAAGTTACTTTTCTGTACTGCATCACTTCCAAATACCATTTTTCTATTAGAAAAGAAGAATAAATTTTTCGAATGGTTTCAATTTTACAAATTTTCTCAAACAAGATCTTAATATTTTGTTCTCGTTTCCTGTTCTGCAAATATCTGTAATTCCATTCGGAAATTAATTTGATAGCTCTTTGCTTTTTAAAATGCTCTTTCCTAAATTCAAGTTGTTTAACATATTTTTGATATAACTTAACAGAAATATGTTTTTTATACCATTCCTCGATTAAATTAATAACTTTTTTTATAAATAAAATATTACACTTTCTTTCAAAATATCTTTTATAACATTTTTGTATCATTTGGGAGTTTCGATACATTAAAATATAATGATAAATATATTGTTCCATCTTAATATTTCGATACCACTTTTGCAAGACAATAATTGCTATTAATTTCTTAATACATTCCATAATGCTTAATATTTCCTTTGATTCTTTGTTACTTTGATGCAAAGGCGTTTCGAAATTTTTACTTCTCATTTTTTCATAAAATGTTCTCAAAATTCCATTACAGTTATTCACATTGGATTTGAAATTTAAAGAAGATTCGGATTTATGTTTTCTTTTGACTTGAAAAAACATGTTGAATTTTGAATTTTCTTTTTTAATATCCAATATTTGTGATGATCTTTCATCCGATCTTTTCAATCCATTTCCACTAAGTGGAGTCTTTGATATTGATTTTTCCAATATTGCTGTTTTCAGTTTGATGCTAAAAAACCAAAATTTCTTCTTCTTTTCTAATATAAATCGATTCATTTGTATTTCATCAATAAAGAATGAGCATATTTGATTTCTTCTGTGCCATTGCTGTATCTTAATAACTGTTCGAATTTTAGTAAGAAAATTATTGATTTTTACAGAAATTCTGCATTTTTTAAACCAATGTTGGATCTTTTTTGCACTTATCTCTCGATCTTCCTATAATACACGATAGAAATATATTATAAAATAGATAATAAATAGACATATAAATACAAAGTAAATATAAAAATTTCAGAAAATAAATAAATAATAATGATTATATTAATATATTAAATTAAATTTAAATGATTTACGTAAATTTATTTTCATTTAAATGTATTAACTATAGCATACTGTCTCGTACAGTATAAAGATAAAAAACAAATTTTGCAAGTTCGTATAGTTTTTGGCAAGGCAGTTAGTAAACTGCAACACTATCAAAACTCGATGTTATTCAAAGAAATCTTCCAGTTATAAAGCAGACTAGGTTTCTAGTTTAGGAAGATATCATATAGGTAGGTTTATCCTAAACATAGGCATCTTTAGCATTCTTAAATATTGCATTAAAGTAGGATACTTATAGCATTAAGCGAAAGAAAAACGTGCTATCGAAAAGCAAAACAAAATGTCTGCCTACAGTATTTACTCCGTGTAGTGTATGTTATAAAAAATTTGATGTTACAAATGATGATTAAACAGTTTCAATTATATATCATCTTTGCGGTTTGTGTAAAATCAAACTTGTAGTTTTATAAAAATAAAATTTATAACACATTACTTTTATAATAGGGGAAAGAAGCTACCTCCGATTGGAATACTTCCATTTCCGCAAACCAGGGAATATGAACGGTAGAAGGGAAAATCATCTTCGTCTCCCCTTCAAATCTCATTCTGGACATGTTATTCTAAATTAATTTTTAAGTTTAACTAGAATTTTATTAAGAGGGAAAAAATCAAACAGAAATTAAGTTATAAATGTTTATAATTTAAATCTTCAAAGGGGAATATCATTTATGAGATCCAGATAATATCTACAGTTTTCCAAGAAATGTTTTCCATTTTACTTAAATGAATAATAATAATAATAATTGTTTATATAAAAAGTATCCGTTTACGATATTGGTTCATGATCCAACAATACTTATGCCAACGTAAAATAAATATTACAGAGAAATAGTGGAATGAATAGATTTGTAATGAGGGAGCGAGATTGGAAAATCTCAAGAATCATTATTATGTCTACATGGATCATACGTAGATAATCTTGTTTTATTAAATTATAAATCATTCATATATTAATAAAAACTGAAAAAAAGAAATAAAAATCTCCAATTTAAATACAAATTTCATTCTACAAAAAGTTTAATTAATAAATTTCTAAAAAATCCAAAGAATAAAATGTACCCAGAGAGCATTTTGGATAATTTTTTTCTATCCAGCTTCCGGATTGTTGCTCTAATTCTGCATAAACTTTGTTTTTAAAATAAAAGAATTTGCAAAGAATTTTTAAATTCTATTTTGAAGACAACCCCTCTCTATCTGCGTTGAATGTATGATGGCTTCAATTCTCTTAAAGCCAATTATTAGATATATGTTGAAGTCTGACTGAATTTGAACATAAGAAATTAACAATCGTTAAAATTAAAATACAGTACAATTTTTATAATAAGTCATTAGAGGCAAATATTCTAATTTATTGAAATATTTTCTTTGTTAAATTAACTTTTAATACAATTTTAATCATTTCATTTTCTATTGAGAAAATTTATTTTTTATCCCTTGCAAAGTACATATTCAAATATAATCTTTGTCATCTCATAGAAGTAATATTACAGTACTAAGCAAATTAATTTCTCATAGTTTAAACTTTAAACCGTAGGAACGTAATCTCAATTTCTGGCATTGAACTTATGGAAAATATAATGACTCGTTTTACAACGGCTCGCTTAAAGACGATTCTACAGAAATTAACTGGTAATAAAAATAAATATTTACTACATTAAGTTGCTTGTAACGAATGTGAATTGTGATATAATTAATATAAAATGTCTTTAAAGTATAATTAAATAAAAAAAGACTAATCTTAAAGCATTATTAATATGGTTTAATGACAATCTAATTGATATTTTTCTTAATTTTTACCCATTTGTTTTAGCACAAATATTTACGACAGAACGATTGGTGATAGAAATTCATTTTTAAGGATAATTATGATCAATTCCTGGCATAACATCCATACAATTAATTATATTGATTTAAATGTTCAATAATAGTGCAATTTTATAATCGTTTACACTTTTCTTGGATTACTGTATTTTGTCTTCGGCAGGTTATTGCCATTTCAAAAAGTAAATTATAATGCGTTCGTAGGGATAAAATGTTGTAAAAAAGATTGATTGAAGAGAGGCTATAGAATAAAAACCTGAATTTCATTTCCTCTAAAATTTTTTAAAAGCTACACCTTAAACATGGTTTCCTAACCATATATAAAATCTGCTTATTAAAACATGAATCTTGAGTAGTGAAATTGTCCAAAATAATAATTTTAACTGTGAAGACCAAATAAAATCTATTACACTGAAGAAAGAGAATCTAAATTGAATATCAATCGTGCCAAAATTATACTAATCCCCGCTTTTACAATAGGCAGATATAAATTTTCAAAGTATTAATAATTCATGAAAAATTCTGATTAACTTTCCCAATTTTTAATTCTTTTCGTTCTAATGGCACTAAAAGGACCCCCCTTTTTTTTAGCAAGCCCATTGTGGGTTCGGCCCGGCCTACAAAGTAGCAACGGAATATTCGGTGGTAATGGGCGGGACCCAATATATCCAGATCAGATGGTCCAGGTCCTTAAAAAGTTCCTGGAAAGTTGCTTCCCGGATCGACTCCGGGTCCTCTAGGCTGACGCCTTGTCTCGGCCATCCGACCGTTGATTTACGATTATTATTGAATATTAATGGTTACATATATCAGAATCATTGTTTCGATTCATCTTTTAAATTTATTCCGGATCTGGGGCTAATCGTAAAAACATTCATTTGCATTCTGGTTTAGAACTTTTTCAATCGAAGGATCGTTAGGACATTACAAATAATTGAAGGTGATTCAATTTAAATTAAATTTTGTGCTGTCTTAAACTGTATTAAAGCGAAAATTTCAAATTTATTTAACTAAAATATACTTTAAATTAAGCTTTTAAAATTTCAGTTTGAAATGAAAATACAAAATTAAAATCGACTTACAATAATTTCGTTGGTGAAATGTTTAAATAGAAAAGTTTGACGAGTGTTTATGCAACATTTTAATAAATTTAAAGCGACTTTTTGATGACTTATCAACTTTTTCGGAGGAATATATTTGTTTCTTATTTTGGCATTTGCACAAGATTTTTGAAGTTTCTGCTTTCTCTTTAAATATCGTTTCATCAAAGAATTTTCTTCTATTCAAGAAATTAATTATGCTTAATTTTTATGAAATTTTATTAAATAAATCTAAAATTATAGGAATCGTCATTATAATATTTATACGCTACAATTCAAAAGATATACAGTATTACAATAATGAACTTAACGATTATATTTTACTATACAAACTTTTCTAAATTATATATTACAATATTTATTTTTAATATTTAAAAATTGTAAGGTCAATTTTTAAAAAAAATATTCGCCTTAAAGATAATAAGAGGACGTTTCTTTTATGCCTGTTACGTGTTCAGTTAAGATTGATCAGCCTATCAGTGATAGATTAGTGTTTTTACATTATGCTTTCTTTATTTCAATCGTTATAAGTAAATCTGTGTAAGTTGGTTCGTAAGAGACTGCTTCAAATAATTTTCCATTTGTTGATAAAATGTTATCAGCATCTATACTTCTATATCTATATCTATAGAGTCCGAGTGCAAGTATTCGCGCGCGCCCTGGTGGCAAATATTTACATAACACATAGGAGTTCTCTAAAGAATGCATATGCGTTGTATCTGAGACATTTCGAAATCGATAGCTAGTACAGTAAATCGCTTATTGTTTTTTAATTTGTATTTGAGTTATAATATTAAACATGGGTAAATCAAATGTAAATCGTTGTGTGTTTGGATGTTCTAATACACTAGCAAACACTCAACATGTAACGCCGAAAGTTTCATTTTATGATTTTCAGGCACGTCCACACCTTAAACAGAGGCGCCAAATTTGGATAAATTTTGCTAAAAGAAAAAAATAAGAAATACAAAATTTATTGTTAATTTTTAAAAAATTGACACGAATAATTTTCTAAAACTATCCTTGTAAATTTAGTAAAAACGGATCACAGTGGCCACCCTCTAAATCAGCACGGATATGTAGTATGCATTTTATAGATGGGGGAAAAAAGTGAAGATCCAAGATGTCCAATTTATAATTCAACAATCTATCCTGAAAAAAGAAGCAATGAAGAAAATTATCGACATGAACAGTCAATGAAGAGATATAAACGCCTAATGAACAGAAGGAACGTTTTATTTGAAGAAGAAGCAGAAAGACACTTTGATGTAGCAATTGAAGACAGTTTTTTGGTCCTTAAGGAAAAAAAAACGTGACTTTGGAATTCAAACAGAGACTACAAACGAATAGTTTGGAGATGTAAGAATTTTTATTTGCATGACTAGTAACAATGTTTCTGAAACTTCAAGTTTCCCATGTTAAAATGATTTCAAAAAAATATGGAGAAAATCATAGGTCATGTCATTTTAGTGGTGTAGCAAATTTTGATGACGATCAATCTTTAAAAGACTTAATATCAGTAGGATTCGATTTTTTCAATTTATTTTTAGACATGCTTCCAAACAGTCCTGTTAGAGTTTATGAATTGTCTTGGGAAAATAAGTTACATATAAGTTAAGTTACATTAAGTTACTATAAATCTGCTTATAATATAAAATATTTAATTGGAATTGATCCATCAGGACTTATAACTTTTCTTTCTAGTTGGTACAGATTCGTTCATAACAAATGATTGTTATAAACGAATCTGTAACGAATGCAAAAACTGGAGAAGGGAGATATTGTTATAGCTGATAGAAGGTTTCCTGAAATTAAATTGGCTGTCGAAAATAAAAATTCTATTTTAATTATGCCTCCTTTTTCAAAACCAAATCAAAAGCAGTTTAGTGGTAACGAAATGGACGAAACATAGAAAATTGCTCGTGTAAGAATTCACGTTGAGAGAACCATTGGTAGAATTCAAATTTTTGAAATATTGAACTGTAGATTACCCATTTCACTTCTTCCACATGTAGATAAAATAATGTTTGCTTGTGTAGTATTAGTAAATCTGCAGCTACCAATTTTAAATGAGTGAAATTTTTTTATTGTGAAAACACTATAAAAACTTGATACTATTTACACTTAATACTTAAATACTATTTACAATTGAAGGTAAACAATAATTAAAGTAGAACATTTGCATCTTCTCTAATAGTGAATAAATGAATGTCTCATTTTTTCCACTTTAATTTAGGGTTCAAATGGAGAAGAAACCCTTCGCATTTTTCTCCTATGTGTTATGTAAATTTTTTCCACCAGGACGGCGCGCGAGTAACTTGCACTCGGACTACAGTGGCTAGAAAATATAGTGTCGAAATCGAGCTTATTTTCTGTCCCTATATTGGAGGTTGCCGCAAGAGGCGCTGCTGTCAATCGTTGTGCTACACTGGCTGTATCATCCCATGTTTATATTGGTTTTAAGTGGGATTTTTAAGCATAGTAAATGTGCTGTAGCCAAGTAAAAGAATTTAGATCGATAATAAATCATATCACTAGCAATCAATTATTATANCAACAGATGGCGCTACAAGTATGACACTCTAAGTTTGCTTTTCTGTGAGGATGAACTAAGCAGATCATCTTCTATCTATTTATATAAATAAAAATGTAATGTTCGTTTGTTCCTATCAATTCCTTTGAAATTTTCACACAATTCGAATACGCACGTGTTTTTATATAATATACGTGTCGAAATTCCTTCCACTGGGGGAAATGAATAGGATTAAGGCTTACCGTAAAGAACTCTGCTTCTATTTCTACTATTTTAAATGCGGTTTTTTGCGTTTTTGATTGCATTTTAATAGGGTATGTCAACAGAATATACATTAAAAAGGGATTTTTCAATATTTCCCCCGTGGGGGAGAGAGACAGGATTAAGGCTTACCTTGAAGAACTTGGCTTCTATTATACTATTTTAGATGCGGGTTTTTGCGTTTTGATTGCGTTTTAATAGGGTACGCCAAGAGAATGTACACTAAGAAGAAATTTTTCGAAAAATTCCCCCACCCACACGGGGGAAGTGTTATACATTTATAATAGATACATTTTGAGCCACAACAACGCGTGGCGGGGTCTGCTAGTACAAAATAAAAATGTTTATGTAAATTTCGAGAATAAGTTCACATTATACTTTCCATACAGAAATAAAAAATATTTTTTTCTACAGAATCTGTTTTTTCTTTCTCTTAGTGATACATCTTCCATGTCAAAATAAAAATGAAGTTTACATCTTTTTAATAACCGAGTAGATTTTGATTACACTTAGACTTTTCACATCATAGTATACAGTAAATCCGCTTGAATATACCCTAATGAAATTTAACTTAATTTTACTTAATCTTACCTAATTAAAATTATGCGATGTGCGGAATTATATTTATTTTTATTTTAAAATGATAAACCCAATTGCTTGGATATCAAGGGGCTAATGTAAGGTGCCGACTTTTAGGGGCAATAAGTTAATTGCGCGTCAGATAAAACCTAGGGACTGATCGTATGTGGGTGGTGGCGGCAGAGGCAAAGATGACAAGTGTCTTACAATAACCGTTTATTATAACATTAAAAGTAATTTACATAACAATAACACAAAAGACGATCTAGATCGTGTCTTGTGTTATTGTTATGCAAGTTACTTTTAATATTATGGTACGGGTGTGCGGCTTGGGGCATTCCTTTTTCTGAGCCAAATTGAAACATTTGACGACGGTCCTTGCTCTTGCTAATCATTTCTTTTCAGAACTGACTGTATCCCATATCGTGAAACGTTAAAACCACAATTTTTGCACATTTTAATAATTTGAGTTTGCAAATATTTTGCTTCGGAAAGAGTAGTTACATAACCTGTCCAAAAGTCTAAAATTTTAGGTGGCATATTTGCGATAGATTAACCTTACTTATCGAAAGTAAAACTCAGAATATACAGTAGCACGTGGGCCAGTTGCTTTTATTTTACTTCCTACAACTGGAACTATGGGTAATATACAAATTGGCATTATGCAAAGCGATCGACCTTCTGTACACCTAAATGTAGACCGTCAATATAGTTTATAACTTGCAGTTTTTGTACTGTAACGTAGGAACCGGACCAATACTATTTCTGTTTAGAAAAAACGTACTTTCATTTCCAGAGTAATTGAAGGATTTTGCAACTTGTAACGAAAATAAAAGTAACTTAATTTTTACAGAAAGTATTGCAAAAATTTTTTATTTCTTTACGCTCAACATACTCCTACCAGAATGATAATTTGACATCAACTATATTCGCGGATTAAAAGCATAATGTTATGCTAACTATCTGGGGTGAATTTAGGAGGGGTACGCAGGGTGCAGTTACACTCCCCTTCTGAGAGTTTTTCCGAGTAAAATCTAGTACTTCGGGTAATAAAATTTTTGTAAGGCATATTGTTTTCTTTCTTTCCTCAAAAATTTATGAATATTCTATTGCTAACTACTTATCATTATTCTATTCTCGATATTCAAGGATATAGGTGTGCTATGATAAGGAGTACTAATTCTTATATTGCGGGCTATACGTCTAACCTGGCATACTTCTATACAAACCATAATACAGGTATTTATATAAATGTCGTACAAAATGTTATTAAGTCAATTTATTTTTTAGAAAAAAAAAGTTGTTCGTGTGTCCCTGTAGCGCAGTGGATAGCGCGTTGGACTTCTAATCCAAAGGTCCCGGGTTCGAGTCCCGGCAGGGATGTATGCTACGTATCTTTTTTATACAGTTTTGCATTTTAGTTGTCTCATTTTACAGATTCGCTGAAACTAGAGGGTGATTCAAAATTCTCTCTACATAAAGATCGACAGCTCACCTTATTATGCAGTCACAAGTCACGCAATGTAATCTATGCAAGTGTTATTTAATTAAATGCACATATAAATACATGAAAAACACCATTACATGTCTGATGTTGCCTTGCGCGTGTACACATATACGTGTCTCTTCTATATAACCTAGAGACTTTTAAATCTCTTTGTTTACAATAATCATTCAATTTCTAGTAAAATATATCATCGTTTTCAAAAGATAGACCTATCATTTCTAAAATAGTTTTTTGGGTAGTTTAAATGACCAAATTAGACTCAATGCCATCAATATTGATATCAGTTGATGTCATTAACCATGGCTTAATGTTAATGCCAATTGGAATATGTAGCCCATTTACAATTTAATAAGAATTCATAAAATTTCCACTATTTATGATTTTCTTATATAAATTGAATAATTGCTGATGACTTGTCATTCAAAATCATTCCTATCAACTAACATTAATTAATATCATTTGATTATAATTTATTATTAACAAATGATTTCCACAGTTATTTTTTATTAAGGACTTTAGTAGTTATGAGCTTGAGACAGTATCTCGTAGTTTTCCTATTGCCTACTATTCAAACACCTATTTCAATACTGTAGAATGAGCAATATTAGTATTTAAAATGTCAATCCAAGAAATTGCAAATTCAGATTTCTTGTATTGGCGACCGCTGCATTAATCACCACATTTATTACTGATGTAGCAGTCTGTTTGTTTTGCTGAGTCGCTACGTAACAATCAAGCTTAAACACGAACTCGTCTTCATCATTCCGTGAAAAGTAGCGATTGATGACCAAATTTTAGCATTGGAAGCATTGCAGACACTTCATGACGATGAGTGTATGAATATAAATAAGAACAGTCTTTTTCTTGTAACGTGATAACATAAAGACCGCGCTGAAGCAAGGAAACAACGAAAATGCTTAAGAAATCAAATTTACAGATTAGTCCACACCCTTCTTACAGACCAGATTTAGCACTGTCTAACTTCCGATTGTTCCCAAATTTAAAGGTGGTATCGAAAGGTCAATCAAAGGACGAAGTTCACCTGCACTACGGGAATAGATGATAAAGGATTTGAAAGTTTTTACTTTTATAGAATCAGTAGCGGATTATGTTCCTTTGAGGCCCTGGGCGCAATTCTGTTATAAGACCCTTAATGTAAAAGTGTGTTTCATATTAAAAAGAGATTAAAATCGTCAATTTATGAGTCATGTCGCTGTTCTTGCCGGGGTGAAAAATATACACTTTTTAAACGCTCATTAAATTTTTAGAGATATATTATCTTTTTACTATGTAATATTTGAGGCCTCTCGAGAAGACGAGGCCCTAGGCGCATGTCTATTGGGTAATCTGCTACTCTATCGAATACTAAAATAAATTGAACGTTTAGGAAAGGGCGTCACTCTAAATGGCGATCCTGTAAAAAATGAATATATTTAATTAAAATAAATAATTTTTATTTCTTTTAAAACTGATCACAATATCCTATTTTCAATTCAAAGCAATTTTATAAAAAGGAAGATCTGATTTATCAACCGATCTGTGTTTCATTTATATAAATTTATTTATTTAATGATATAATTATTTATTTTTGTGAGATTTCAGTAAAATTGTGTTTTATTCTAAATCTGTAATCTGAAAACGCAAACAATTGTTCTCTTTTTGATAATCTTATTATTCTATAAACAAGTCATTTCAAAATAATTTATGTATATTTAGAATAAATACAATTTTATAACGTTATTTCTTCGATGTAAACTAAAATATTATTTTAAAAAATCTAGAAGAAATTGTGTTTTATTCTAAATCTGTAATCTGAAAACGCAAACAATTGTTCTCTTTTTGATAATCTTATTATTCTATAAACAAGTCATTTCAAAATAATTTATGTATATTTAGAATAAATACAATTTTATAACGTTATTTCTTCGATGTAAACTAAAATATTATTTTAAAAAATCTAGAAGAAATTAAGTCGTATTCAATTCCTTCATTGTAAAAATTGTAAAAATACCGTCTGTCATTTTAATTAAAATGTTATTGTAAACGTTATGTAGCAAAATGAAATGGATTTCTCCTCATTAAGCAATTTCTATTTCAAATTCACAAAAATGTGTACAACTTTCTCATAGACTTTAGACTGTTTAGAGCAATCTTCCATTATAAAATACAATATAAACGAACAATTATTTATTGTGACATCGTCACAATGCTCTCGAATTTAATTGTGTCTTGTCCCTGTACATCACACTTTTCCTGTTAACAAGAAAGTCACGTCGGTGACTATTTAACTCCGTTCCGAAGAAAATTTTTGAATTCAAATAAGGTCATTTCCGGTCCAAATCAGAAGTTCGTATATAATCGGAACCTCCTGCCCCAAAGTTTTCCATATCGGGTCTCGTCCTTCATCAGTCTAACTCCATTCTCGAAATTCAGGAAGGATAGGCAGACATACAAGACGAACGCCAGTGGGAATTTATAAGTCTGAAGTTAAAAAACATTGGGTCGCAATTTTCAATCATCAAACTCCTCGCCCTTTTGCTTTGCTTTGCTTTGCCCTTTGTCTCCATTTTTAATGTCAAATCATCCTTTGTCCAGAATATTTTGTAATGTTGCTTAAGACAATGAAAATCATAATAGGGGAAAAAACTGTTATCGGTCTCAAGAATAAGAATACGAGTTATTCCTATGATAAATAGAGTTGTGATACAATATTTTATTTTAAATTATTTGCCGAGTGGACAAGAGACAAGAGACATTTGAAGTGCTTATTTTCAAAATAAGCACTTCAAATGGTTTGGTTTGAAGAAAAAAGGTGTCTATCAAAGGAGTGCCACCCCGGAGAATTTTCTATTGAAAACTGGCCACTATTAAGAACACGTAAAGAAAACTCAAAACTTTACGTGGCAACCTGTTATCACGCGCGAACCCAAGACCAACCACGAGAGTTTATTGATTTTATCTGTTTCTACTGGTCGTTAGGCATGCTCTGGGATTACGGGTTCGAATTCTATCTAGATTATCCACTAATTTAGTACCGGTATCGAAGTTGTACGGATTGAGATATCATTTTTCACCTTTCGTCCATGCTAGTCGACCTATAATCCGCAATTTTGAACAGGTAGGTAACCTTAACATGTTAGAATCTCACGTCAACTAAAGACTCAATCAAATATGTTCAAGACAATAAATATCTAAACGGTCCTCTCGAACGGTGTTTTATTGTCAGTTTTATTACTGACGATGATTGTCAACATTACACCTTATTAAGATTATCATCGGCTTCTTTTAGAAAAACAATTAAAATTCAAACATACAGTACTAAAATCTTGATTAAATTTATGAATCAAAAGAATTTATAAATTACTCTCAGCTTTATTGAATATCTCCGTTATTAATTATATAAGAATGTAATTAATGATTATCATTTCGATATTTTTCTCCTAATTTATGCAATTATTAGAATTCGAATATATTTTTCTTACCGGGATCTATGGAAACCTCATTTTCTGAATGTGAATTATATCGTTCTAAAGAAGCCATCAATTGAAACTTAAATATTGACGATGGATATCGGGGATCATTTCCTCAAATGATCATACTTAATTCATCTGCATCTCCACGATGTAATAATCAGAAAGAAAGATTGTCGTAAACAATTGTATTGTTATTATTAAAAATTTTAATTCTAAATTATAGGGGAAGGTAGTGCAAGATGGGGCCATGCGGTAAGATGGGGACGTCTGTTTATTAGCCGTAATTATCTTGTTATAATTTTCAATTCATTTTATATTATTTACTAATGTTAATAGATTGTCCGCCATTTGTTTTTTCACTAATTCGTTTTACGACCAAGTGGTGTCCACGGAAATTTCCAAAATTTACAATTTTTCAGTCACTCTCATTAAACTGGAAAAATTTCTGTCTTTATTACATCTAATATTACGAAGAAATCAGTCCCACTGTACTCGGCTAGAGATTGGTTCAGTTAAGCTTTCGTTTAAGTAAAATTCCGGCTCTTTCAGCAGGGTTTATTTATGTCCCCAATTCCCTAATCGCTTAATCATTTAACTACTTGTTAAGTAGAAATAAGTTGAAACTGGTTGCTTTGAACTTGAATATTTGTAGTCTTGGGAAAGAAGTGGAAAGACAAATTTTTATGACAACAGATATATAAATCGTAAATTTAAGGAATATAAATTCTAGAGCTTTTTTGTACCTTGTGCGTCTCATTCATTAAATTTAGTTGTAAATGATGCTGCCAAAGTAACAGTTAATTTTTTTTAACATTGTACAAGAATTGTAAACGTTTTTTTCTGCATCTCCTTATAGAAGGGACATACTAAATCGTAATATCACTAGTTTAACATTGAAATCTGTAATACAAAATGGGAGAGCAGAATAAATATATCAAATATTTTAATGGAATTTTTTAAAACTGTCAACTATATAGAATTATCATAAAAACATAACCCAACCGATAGGAGTTTACTGGTAAGTTATAAATCTACTCGCGATTCACATAATGGGGCGAGTTCGGCCAAAGCAGGCATATAGCAGGCAGGCGGCTAACAGCCCAGAACCGGTCCTGGATAGAATCATTGGAAGCGTTGTCGCCGTTGTATTTAGCTTCCACCAGCTAAACCGCCTGAGGTTGGTGCTCTGTAAAGCGCATGCGCGAATGCCTATAATCTGGCTGCTCTACACCGTTCAAATATTTTCGCCCTGGAAGCTGTCCCATATTCGACAATACAGAGCTTCCGTTGGGAATATGCCTATACGAATTTATATTCGAATACAGTATACAATAGCAATCTTATCGTTTTTCTCACATGTAGTATAGAAATTTGTAATAAGATACATAATGCGGTTATTATAAAATATTAATTTTAATTAATCCAAAATACGTTAACATATAAAAATAATCGCGCAATATGTATTTTTTAGAAAATACAAGGCTTTCCTTGTATTTTCTAATGGTGCTTCTGCTTCCACTGCTTCCAATGACAGCACGCCACTGCTTTATGGTTATCCCTCCGAATACATTGTATCCACAATATAATTATATTGTAATTGTGATAGTCTATCAAAATTCTATCATAACACTGTATTTCCATTTAATAATAATCTGTTATAACATTAATTTACTCCTGTTACAATTAAGAAATGAACATCAATATTGTTATCTAATTTTCAATCATTAAAATCAACTAATGGTTCTCAAGTAGTTTCTATAATTTCTATTACTAAAATATAGTCAGGAACGGATCTACATACGGACTGATAGGGCTTAAACCATAGGCCCTTAATAATTCAATTTTTGTGGGCCCTTATACATTTTTAATACTTTTTCATTAACAATGAGCACTTATCATAGAGTAAAAAATAGTTAATATTAATACTATAATAATAATGATAATTTGTAGTATTATTTGTATTAACAAAAAATGGGACCCAGTGGACTTCAATAAGCCCTACGCCCCAAAAACCTAGATCCACCCCTGAATATAGTGTTTAGAAAGTGATAAGAGAAGAGTTTTTTAAGAGAAAACAAAATCATATTTCTAGAAAACAATATTTAACTATCAGGTAAAGCTAAATGCAAGTGTTCTCATTAAAAAAAAAAACCACTTATAATTGTTTTACTAAGCACTTTTATATGAAGAATATAAACAGGCCTATACTTTTGCATCATTGAAATTTGCACAAAAATTACTGTATTTGAAAGTAAAAATTCAATATAGAATATTAAGTAATGTTAGACACAATTTATTTGCTTCATTTAATAGATACAAAATAGTAGATATTTTTATACAGGCAGATTCCGTGTTTACAAATAAAACAGTGAAGTCTGTAGGATAACACAAAGGTAGCAGAATAGCATTTTTGTATTATGAGCAAGTGCAGCCAATTCGTTCCACAAAATTATGAATAGGTTAAAATATGCAACTTTAAAGTCATTCAACAAAAGAGTGGCAGACCAATCACTTGCCTTGCATACAGAGAAGAGAATAGTTAAACATGGTTTAGTAGAACTGGTGGGTTGAAATCTCTTGTAATGATTATATAAGGCCAGTAGGGGACATTTAGATTCATAAGTGCTTATATTCCCATTACTTAATGTATTATGTTGCAAGATATGCTTAAATTCTTATAAGAAAAAATACAAGAAATGCCAAATAAAATATTCCAAAACAAATTATTTAAAAAGTTATATGATCAGGAGGAAGATTCAGGAAGGAGGAAAAAATAGTTCCCTTATTTTTCATTTCACTTGTTGCATGCATCCTACATCCACTCAATGTCACTAAAGCCATTCTTGATGATAAACATAACATTGCTAATATTTTCTTTCTATTATGGTCAATATATGCTTATTGATCTATGTATTATAAAAACAAAATAAAAGGCATTTAATTTTTGATCTTTTTATTTAAACACTAAAGAATTTAAATTATAAGAATGTAAGATGTAAATATTTTAAAAGTAAATCATATTGTAAAATCTTTTAAATCATAAAAAATTATTTGTAATTTATAAAAAGAAAAATTAACAGTTTACTTAATATAAAACAAAAAAATATCATCTAAAAATTTGAAAGTTATAAGTGATAAAATACATTAACAGAAACAAGTGACCATTTAATAAATTATATTGTGTCTGTATACTGCAATATTTTATAATTAATTTAACATGATATTCATGAGCAGCATCATGGTATCTTCACAATTTTTAATTTTCTGATACTCATAAAACTAAATATACATTGTATGTAAATCACAGATGAAAAATACATTATATATATGTATATATATATAACAACACTGTACAAATACTGGTACTATGGAATATAAATTCTTAAAACTTATAGAATTTGTTCAACCACATCAGATTAAATGCATCTAAAGTAATATATTTCTGAACAAATATGGCAATTACATAATTTCCTGTGAGCAAAATTTTTCATTCTTCTTCAATAATAATAATAATAAAATTTTAAAAAATTTAATGAATAGATTATTAACTTCTTCCCTTTCCCAAATTATCTTGTAAACAAAACTGACAATCACTGAAGGCTCAAATACCTAATGTTTTATAATCTAAAAACATTATACATTTGATCTTTTAGTAATTCTTTCTGTCTGTAAGAATACATTGGCTTTTTATCATAATTATTCCTTTTTTTCATGATAACAGTATAAAAACAAATTTATATTTATTTTTTTCTTTTGGATTTTTAATTATAATGTGAACAAAATACAGTAATAAAATATATTTAAACAAAAAAATTGTATAACAATTGTGTTATTCAAACTGTTATTTCAAAGATTGCTTAACCCAATTGTAAATTTTGTATCAACAGAAATATGTAACATTATATATAGCATAATATCTTTCAAAATAGAATAGATCTTATATTCATAACATTGGAAGTAATAATAGTGGACTCAGCTTATAGGCACATTTCAGATGCATTCAAAAGAAAATCAAATTTATGATTACGAAAGTGTTTCTTTCCTTGTTAAATGGATAGTTTCATACTTTATTCCTGTTCCTTCCTATATAAAAAAATATTTTATTATCAATAAAAAATTCTGAAGAAATTGTGTCATTTTTTATTAATAACTATTAAAGTACAAATGATAAGCATCAAATATCTCAATACTTATAATCTTAAAAATTATGGCTAAAATGAAATAAAATAATTTATTCTTTTAAACAACAAATTTGACTTTTGTCCTCTTCAAAATACTGTTTTTAATTGCTGCATTGTGCTCTTTTAATTGTTTGCTATGTCTTCAAATCATTTCCTTTTGAAATGAATTTTAGTGTTTAAGAATAAAAAAATAATAATGGAGCCAAAAGGTACATACTATAATGTAACAGTATATAAAATACTGTTATCATTCTTTTTGTTAAAAACTCATTGTGGTGTAGAAATGACAAGTTTTTTTCCAAAAGAGATTGCAACATTTGATTGAATTGTGTTTCTTGACATAAATCAAAGTTAACTGATTACAACAAAACAAAAATAGATCTGTTTATGTTATATTTTAGCTTCACTTCATATTGTTATAATAATTGAATTTAACAGTAAACTCTATAATAATAAATATATTATAATTATTGACTTTCATTTGTATAAAAGTTAAAAATCTATTATTTTCAACAAGTTATGTTGCTTATACATAGTTAACTATTTTCAAAGATCACCATAATTTCATGCAGATAACCTGTAACAGTATATACCTCACAGAAAATCATTAGAACAAAATTTAAATCTTTACATAACTCATCTGTACAGCAGCTATTAAAAGCATGGCATTACTAGTATGCATTTTAGAAGGGATCATTAATTAATTTAACATTAAAATGCTTTTTTATTATAACTTTATTGTAGATACAATTATAAAATAAGTAAATGAAAAATAAAAGGAAATCTTCTAAGTCAGACAGACTTGGGCTCAGAATAAACTCTATAGTAGCCAGGATAGTGTTGATAGAACTATGTCTAACTGCTAACTGACTTAGGGATGCTTCTTTGAAAAGACAAAGATTATTAATTGGCATAGAAGACCAGATCATAAACACAAAACACTACAGAAAACACATTTTAAAAAACAAACACTTAAAGATGACACTTGTAGGAAATGCCATATCATGTATGAGACTATATAACATATCACATCAGGTTGCAAGCTTTTAATACAAACTGATTATATACTTACATCAACATGACCAAATAGCATACATAATACATCAAAAGTTTGCCTACAAATTACTACAAATACACACTTCAGAGAATCATACATACATACAAGAAAGACTTCGGCCGTACATGAGGTGTTTAGCTGGCAAAAAAGAGGGTAAAGGAAAGGGGAGGGGAAAGAGGAGGGAGAGGAGATAGACAGTAAGAGAAAGGTAGGATCCCTCTGAATGGCATACATGGATTATATTACTTTATTTATGGATTATATTAATATCTGTCCTTTGAGACAAAATATAGTAAAAAATTTTCATCTTTCATTAGATATGCAGAAAATTTTATCATAATCTCTGCAACCAGTTACCATTTAAAGCAATGCTATTTCTAATACAATAATTCTGTTGCAGACATTGAGTGTATGTAAGGTTTTATTACAGTTTAATATTTTTATCAGTTACTTTTGTTTACAACAAATTATGTGTTTTTTAAACTATGGATTATATTACTTGGTAAAGTGTTATTCTTATTGCTTTATTTATAAATTTTCTGTTAAAAATAAATAAGTTATTATTATAGCACTTACTTTATCGTTTCCTATTCGAATAGTACGAAATTTTCCAAAAATACCTCTCCCCTTCTCATTAAATGTCATACTTTCAAAATGATCTTCTTCATCATCTTCAATTGCACAACTCTCTGCAGTAGGTAATTCTCCATCTTTAGAAGAACTTGACTGAACTAATTTCATGTATTTATATTCAAGTCTGTAAAAAAAATAACTTTCATTTAGAATCTATTTCATATTTATTACTGTTACAGTTAATATTTACAACATTTTAATAGTTTACAAACATTAAAGCTTTTGTAAAATTACATAAATTTAACAATAAATGGTACAATTTCTGAAAACAAACTAGTTAAGGAAGCTTTCTCAAACATAAAAATCCAATTTTCTTTCTCAGATTGGTTCATGAAAATCTGTCATTCTCTCTTCAACTTTTATTTCTTAGTTGAGTTTTGAATATAGGGATATAACTTGAAAGTACTAGAAGTTTTGAAAATTTTCCCAAGAAAGCAATTTAAATTGACATTTCTGAACATTTGCCAAGTAATAGTTTATTCCACACAAAGATTGTAATACTCTCATAATCTTTGTTTGGAATAAATTTTATTTTTTTTATTAATTTTTATTTATTTAATTTATTATTAATTTACTCTAACTTTATTATAAATCTGAGGTTAGAATTATAATCCAAACAGCTCTACAGTAGTTAGTTTTGTTTATGATTTTTGAGTTCTTCAAACATGGTTATATTCCTAGTATTTTCATGAAGTGAGTCTTGTCATATGAAGATTTTCAGTCAAGGTATCAGATACTATTAATCATTAACTAAGTGTGGCCGTCGGCCATATATACATATGCATCTTAATTGTATATAGTATAATTCCAATCTTTCTCTTTCCCTATTTCTTCTATTTCCTTTGTCTGTTCCTTCTAGAACCTTCCAAATGACTGTTATAGCCTTTGGGTGAGATTAGCCGTTCTTAGAACCGGAAAGAATAATAGTGGGTAGGATTAGTCGTGCTGAGAACAAAAGGAGAACAATAAACGCTAGAAGGGAAAAAGGAAGTCATCGACGAGACACGAGGAGAGCGAGATGTGTCGAAGGGACACCTGAACGTGACTTCGTAGCGAAGAACAAAGGAAGTTCTTCCGAGAATTGAGTGACGGAGTGAGGAGGATCCATGATCAGGTCTTAGGGCTTGCGTACACCTCCAGATAAATCGGAATCTTCAGGATTAGAGACCCGACAACTGACATGTTTAAGAACATAGTGGAAGCAAGAGCCACCGTCGTTGAGACAGTCCTACCCAAAGCGCAAAGACACCAGAACATAAGAAAGGCCCGGGTGAAGTTATCTCTTCTTTTCTTCTACCTTCCTGCTGTCCTATCTTCCTTGTCATTTCCCTAGTATTAAGTTAGCCTTAAGTTAGGATTAAGTTAGATTTTAGTTATGCGACTATAGAATATTAATTGTTACGCGCCGGTAAGATTTCGTACTGTGATTTATTGTAAAACTGGAAAGATTCCTGTTGATACCCCTCACATTGTAAAATTAAATCGCAAAACAGTTGGGATTCCTGATGAAATCGAACCTGTTCGTATTGAATAAACGAGAGTGTTTATAATTGTAACTGTCGTAGGTTCCTTTCTGTACGTTTCATTCGTGGATCGTACTGCTTCAATCACACGAATACCACATAAGTTACAATATCTTAAGCTTTGTTTAAAATGTATTTTAAACAAAGATTAAACTAGATATGTTTTATTCATTTGCCGTAGGCTCTTGATAAACTATATTCCATTCACAAGCAGAAGTGAATGGGTCCATTTTTGGCATCTTTATCTTTTGTGTCCATTTGACAGGAAGGTAAAAAAAGTAAAATTAGTTTAGAGAAATTTTTTGATGTTGCAGAAAAATTGCCATAGATTAAATGCAGTAATCTATAATCCACACCATCAAAGTGAAAGTTTTTTAACATAATCTGTAGATTATAGAGAAAGAAAATTAAAATATTTGTATGAAAAAAATTTACTTTGAATATTCTGTCACTGAATATTAATAAAAATAATAAATGAAATATGACTGTGTTATACAAAAAGAATCATAAGTTTTATATCATCTCAATATTCTGTTTCTATACAGGATCAACCCTAGGTTTTTGCTATTCAAAACAAAGTTGTTGACATTCCATATTTTTAAAAATTCACTCAGAAAACTCCAATTTATTTATTTATTTAATTTAAATACAAAACAGCATTTTAAAAGCCAGCTTTTTAAAATTTCATTTGTAATTTACTTTTTGTAGAACTGTTTTTTCAGAATTCCATTCTTGAAAATGTGCCACCCAAACAGATATGTGCTTTGCTGGTACAAAGAGCATGCGCTAATATATGATGTTATTGTGAAATGGAACTCATTAGCAATGTAGTGGATTAATGGCCTCACACAATTTACAATATTTTATAAGTATATCTAAAATTTACTTCATAATAATTTATTTCAATATTACAGATCAAACAACATAATTTTATTTTTGGCACATATAAGATATAATACTGTTTAAAACATTGACTTACTTTCGATTTTTCTTCCAAAAATAGAGAACCATTGTAAACAACAGAAGTCCTAAAGCTACACTTGCACCAATAACAATCTGTAATTCCTGAGGAATAGCAGAGCAAGGCTGTGTGCGAGTAAGTGGTTTATCATCAGCATTTGGAGGAATGCAACCCATTGGTGATATGTAATGGAAAGTTTGAACTCCATGTATGCACTCTCCTTTTACAACCTTCAAAGATATTTCAATGGCTATTAATTAAATTAGTTCAGGAAACATTAAATTAATAATTTATCATAAATGAATAGTTAAAGTATTAAATATGATAAATTTTGTGTTTACTTAAATATATATGTTTTTTTTACAAAATATTTGATCCTAAAATTAGAATGAACATATTTACATCCAATATTTATTTAGAATTTTCTTTCTTTTTCATCATTAGAACAATAATTTACTTTTGTATTATTTAAGTTTTGAATTATAAATAGTTCACAATTTTTATTAAATTAGTAGCAAATAAAAAATTCAAAAACTGCTTCATGAAATAATCTAATGTAAAAAGTTAAATTCATATAATCCATGTAAAAAAAAAAGTTCTAAAAAANGAGGACTCAAGGAATCTCCTTGAAAAATTCCTCGCTTAATGAATATTTCGTTTGTTTGTATGGAAGTGTTACTAATCCTGAGATGCAGTGTTGTTCTCCAGTGCTGCATAGTATTTTGGAAGAATGCAATGAGTGATGGATGAATTTTGTACATGTGTAGAATATGTAGCAGCCAACTGTGTGGAACACTGTCGAATGCTTTTCTGTAATCTATATATGCCTTGTGTATGTTTCTGTGTTGTTTGTGTGCTTGTCGTAGAATGACTGAATCTATGAGTAACTGTTCTTTGTGTAACATCCCCTGTGATTTCTACGGATNAAATGTATTTTAAACAAAGATTAAACTAGATATGTTTTATTCATTTGCCGTAGGCTCTTGATAAACTATATTCCATTCACAAGCAGAAGTGAATGGGTCCATTTTTGGCATCTTTATCTTTTGTGTCCATTTGACAGGAAGGTAAAAAAAGTAAAATTAGTTTAGAGAAATTTTTTGATGTTGCAGAAAAATTGCCATAGATTAAATGCAGTAATCTATAATCCACACCATCAAAGTGAAAGTTTTTTAACATAATCTGTAGATTATAGAGAAAGAAAATTAAAATATTTGTATGAAAAAAATTTACTTTGAATATTCTGTCACTGAAAATTAATAAAAATAATAAATGAAATATGACTGTGTTATACAAAAAGAATCATAAGTTTTATATCATCTCAATATTCTGTTTCTATACAGGATCAACCCTAGGTTTTTGCTATTCAAAACAAAGTTGTTGACATTCCATATTTTTAAAAATTCACTCAGAAAACTCCAATTTATTTATTTATTTAATTTAAATACAAAACAGCATTTTAAAAGCCAGCTTTTTAAAATTTCATTTGTAATTTACTTTTTGTAGAACTGTTTTTTCAGAATTCCATTCTTGAAAATGTGCCACCCAAACAGATATGTGCTTTGCTGGTACAAAGAGCATGCGCTAATATATGATGTTATTGTGAAATGGAACTCATTAGCAATGTAGTGGATTAATGGCCTCACACAATTTACAATATTTTATAAGTATATCTAAAATTTACTTCATAATAATTTATTTCAATATTACAGATCAAACAACATAATTTTATTTTTGGCACATATAAGATATAATACTGTTTAAAACATTGACTTACTTTCGATTTTTCTTCCAAAAATAGAGAACCATTGTAAACAACAGAAGTCCTAAAGCTACACTTGCACCAATAACAATCTGTAATTCCTGAGGAATAGCAGAGCAAGGCTGTGTGCGAGTAAGTGGTTTATCATCAGCATTTGGAGGAATGCAACCCATTGGTGATATGTAATGGAAAGTTTGAACTCCATGTATGCACTCTCCTTTTACAACCTTCAAAGATATTTCAATGGCTATTAATTAAATTAGTTCAGGAAACATTAAATTAATAATTTATCATAAATGAATAGTTAAAGTATTAAATATGATAAATTTTGTGTTTACTTAAATATATATGTTTTTTTTACAAAATATTTGATCCTAAAATTAGAATGAACATATTTACATCCAATATTTATTTAGAATTTTCTTTCTTTTTCATCATTAGAACAATAATTTACTTTTGTATTATTTAAGTTTTGAATTATAAATAGTTCACAATTTTTATTAAATTAGTAGCAAATAAAAAATTCAAAAACTGCTTCATGAAATAATCTAATGTAAAAAGTTAAATTCATATAATCCATGTAAAAAAAAAAGTTCTAAAAAATACATTTACAAATTTTATTAATTAATGAATTAAATATTTACATTAAAGTTATTGCATAAAAGTGATGAAATGCTATGAAATTTACCCTTCTTACATCAGATATTCTTATAGTTTGAAATTGTCATCTCATTTCCAAGATTACAGAGATTTAGGAATTATCTGAAGAACAACATATTTCTGAGAAGTTAATGAACATATGGAATTAATTACATTTGTACAATTTTGCATAAATATAATTAATATTTTTAATTCTCTTTTTTATTTACTTTTTAAATTTTCATTTTTCCATAATAGAAACATAAAAAAAACATTATCATATTAATTAAAAAAATTAAAATGAGAATAGTATCTAATATGATAAAGCAACATTGGTTCAATGACATGGAATATTTGAATAGAAGCAGACTTCCTACAGAGAAACAAAATACTAATCGAAAAAGAGAAGTTGAACAGGTTATAAAAAATCTGAAATCTCAAATAAGTGAAATACATTATACACTATATATCAAACTTCAATCTTTGATATATTATGGAATACAATGGCAATCCAAGAAGTTGGTTACTATCTTCTTTTTCAAAGTTGTTTAATCATTATGTAAAAAATAATTTTGTTTATATAAATTATTATTATAAACTGCAGTGATCTTATACTATAGTGATCTTAACTAATAGAGTGAACAGTCCATCAATAATCAGTGTCAATACAATCACACCTTAGTGGGAACACATTACTTAAACTACTAAGATATATCAAAAGAGATTTGGAAAAGAGAAAAATAGTTTTTACTAAATAAAAATGCAAAATATTTTATGATAAAAAGTATAAGTACAATGTATAACAGATAATGTATACTACTCTGCATATCATAACTTCCTTTAAAATAAGATTTTTTGATATACAGTAGAGCGTCGTTTATCCGAATCAATTGGAGACTGAGGTTGTTCGGATAACCAATTATGTACGAAAAAATATATTAATTTATCCCGTGTTGAAATTTTTCTCCATTGTGTGTCACTTCGCGTTGAATTTTCATCGATGTTAAGCCTAACGAAGACTATTGTATCATTAAAAATTATTTTTTTATTTTGTACGAACAAAATAAATATATTGAAAAATATAAAAACAATAAAAAATTATACTTCAGAAGTTAATTTAGTATCAAAAACGTAAAATATTTGAGTAGCC